TATATATATATATATATATATATATAAACACCGGACACAAAACGAACCGACAGACCGCTTCGATATGTGTGTGTCTATGCCCAGCGTGAATTACTATCGGGGGACTGAAAATGGAGTGGATATGCGTTTGTGTGTATGTGAAGCCAGTACGCAAAGGGCGTGCGTGTGCACCCGCATCGCCTCAGCGGAGGAGAAGTGGGGTAAGACATGGTGTGTATGTATATGTGTAAGTGCTGTGCAAACCCACAGAAACAGGTCACTTTCTGACAATGACACTTTGTTTTTTTTTCAGATGCAGCATACCTACGCACATGTAAGTTTATCAATTAACCCAACATGTCCTAAAGACCTAAGATACAAACAGGAATGAAATCACGGTCTATTATACTAGACCAATAACCAAGGTTAGCTATTTTAACATTTTGTTTGTAATTTCTGCATTATTTTCTTTTAAAGGTTTTCTACCCATAGGAATTCCCTGCTCAGGTGAGACAAAGCTTATTTAAAAATCTTTTCTTTTCAGGTGCAACCTTTAACAATTAGTTACTTCTACAGTCGTCATGTCCTCGGCATCTAACATTTATTTATTGTTTTCGTATATATAATTCACCTAATTCTGACCCATCTTGCATGAAATGCAGTGATTTTTGAGGTGTTCAACTCGAAAGTTGGTTTAGAATAAAAGGTTTGTTTATAACACTTTACCAACCAAGTTCTCTAAGATCTACAGTGAGCCACATTGGGCTGCTTTTGAAGGTATAATGTCATTGTACAGCGAAATTTGGTATTACACTCCAGTGACAATTGAAATGATGGACGGATGGATGGATGGGTAACAGAAATTATATACAAAAATAGATTTGATGCTATTGAAAATGACAGCGTTGTATTCCCCGGGCAACCTTGTGATTTGGTTCGTCCATCTAATCTGTACTCATCCCACACTAAGCACTTCGTACAATTTCTAGGAATGCTAGATGGATCACCTGGAAATGTGAAAGTTAATAATTGTGTTTTGATCCGAGTCCTTGTTTTAGGTCTGAAAGTATACTTATTCATTTATTTCACATTCCAATTATGTGACGATTTACAGAATCTTTCCCCACTTGTATTCCTTTGTGGGTTTTAATAAACGTTTATGATAATGGACTGTATATTTTCTATATGCTTATTTGTATTCTGTTTATTTCTCTTTTGCACTATGATCAAAATTATATAAGCATATCAACTGTAACAAACACACTAAAGCCGAAGGAGTTTTGGAGTGGTCAGTGCAGGGCGATGTATGGGACAGATGCAATCTGTAAGCCTTACATTTTCCAAAAGGCTTAATTGCGCTACCACAGTGACGTTCCTTTCGCAAAATAAAAAACAACAAAAAAAGAATGTTTTTATTTACAGTGTATATATAAGGGATTACCTACAAATAATAACAGTATTTACAACTCTTTGCTCTTTCACCTAGAGTATACCAGTTCTTTGCCCACAAAACAGCAAATAATATTCCTCACAGCACATGGCACTGATATTTCAACACATCTGTCTTATCAGAGAACAGACCTATTACAGTACTATCATCTGCATATTTTACTATTGAGTTTGAACAATGGATGGGTACAGAGTTGTATGTGAAAAGGCAGTAGAGGTTGGGGCTCTGAGGTATGCCTGTATTGACCGTTAGTGTGGATTAGTTAAGTCTGACATATGACTTTTAATGTTCCAAATGAGTGAGTGTAACACAAACACTGCTCACTTAACTACCAAGTTCCGTTCCTACGACTAGGGCTGCTTTTCCAGCGCAGCAGGTCTTGTACTTTAGGGACTTTGAGAAAGTACCAAATGTACGGTACTTCACAGTGTTGGTTTTCCAACATGAGGTGGGGAATTTTGTACTGAATTTGAGAATTGGACGATGTGCAAAATTAATACCCACATTGCATGTTCTGCACATCCAATTCTCACATTGCTAGTAAGCTAGATTAACATCAGGATTTTTCTCACTTTCAATTTTATATATGGACATTATAGCACAGGGGGTTTAAGTTTTGCTAAAACATTTTTACTCTTGTCATAGAAAGAAACCTTAGCTAGCTTTGCAATTTTAATTGTCATTCCTTTTATATATTATCTAATATATGTTAAAAAAAACAGCTTAAAGTTTACCTCTGCTGCTTTTGCATGAGCGCTGCATGCATTCTCCGAGACAGTCGTAATCATTTTCATCCTTGCTGTATTAAAGCACTCCTAGATGGAGTTGATAAATTTATGAACTCCTTTTTGCTTTATAAATACCCCAATATTTATTACAACAAAATCACTTCGCCAAGAAAGCAAATATATAGCGTGCTGCCCAGTATATTAAACCAAATACTTGAAAAATTTCTTGTCAGGCAATTCTGATCTTTTTGTTGTATCTGTTCTTCCAACCAGATCGCAATTAATATTTTTTTTAGTTCATTTATCATTGTTTTAAAAAAGTATTTATTTTTCTCTTTATTGCACTAAACAGGAGCAGCACTCCTAATTTCATTGTGTATTTAGTACACAATGACAATAAAGCTTCTATTTTATTCTATTCCATTCATAGCACTTTGGTCATTTTAATTTTTTGCTTTACAGCAGCAGTGAAATATTAGTACATTTAAAGTTTTACCCAACATCTCCTAAAAATGACAGTGAATAAAAGATTAAGCATGCTGAAATTTCATTTTAACACCCCATCTCACTGATGTAGATCTCTTTTTCAGTGTCCAGTTCTGAAAAGTTATTTTAAAAGAAAAGATTTCTTCATGTCACTTTTACCATAACACTTTGTTGTTTTTTTCCTTTACAATAACAGCTCAATATTGCTCAGGTAAATTAAACATTTTACCCAACATGTCTCCTAAAAATGACAGTGAGAAAAAAAATCAAGCATGTTGAAATTCCATTTAATTCCATTTGTTTGTTTGTTTTTTTTTCATTTATAGAAGTACTGGAGTCAGGTAAATTAAACATTTTACCCATCATGTCTCCTAAAAATGAGTCAGAAAAAAATCAAGCATGTTGAAATTCCATTTAATTTTCTTAATTTGTTTGTTTTTTTTTCATTTATAGAAGTACTGGAGTCAGGTAAATTAAACATTTTACCCAACATGTCTCCTAAAAATGACAGTGAGAAAAAAAATCAAGCATGTTGAAATTCCATTTAATTCCATTTGTTTGTTTGTTTTTTTTTCATTTATAGAAGTACTGGAGTCAGGTAAATTAAACATTTTACCCATCATGTCTCCTAAAAATGAGTCAGAAAAAAATCAAGCATGTTGAAATTCCATTTAATTTTCTTAACTCCCCATCTCACTGATGTACATCTCATTTTCAGTGTCACCTAAAAATAAGAGAGCAGAACACCTGGGGTTGGGCAGACTGCTTATAGGCTCATTGTTGGGCCTTCTGGGATCATTCCATGCATTCCCTAACAGTTGGCATTATCTTCTCAATCCTCTCATCACCCAAACATATGTCACCATGATGTAGTGAGGATTCTTGTTCCCATGCCAACTTTTCCCACGTTGAGCCGTTCTCAGTGCTGCTGCTCAGAGAGGAGATCAATCTGGGTGAACCCCATAGATGCAACATGAAGCACCAGTATTAGCCACCTTCATCCATGACACGTTGGAGCATCACCTTGAGCGTCTGACTGGTTTGCTCAACAAGGCCATTTGTATAGGATGGTAGGCAGAGGTGGTGCACCTTAATGAGCCTGCAAACTTCCTTCACCAACTGGGAGACAAACACCGTGCCGTGGTCGGTGGGGACGTCTTTGGGGATGCCCAAATAGCTGAACAATGTGAATAGCTCGTAAGTCGTGTTCTTAAAGGTGGCCCTCCGGAGAAGGGTGTTCACATGGTAGCTGGTGACCACATCATGTCCAGGTGAATGTGGTTGAAGGGCATGGTGTGGAGTGGCACTGAGGGTCTGGGTGGTGGCAGATGAGGAGCTCTTTGCTGGTACGCAGGATGTCGCCATAACAAGACTTTTAGGGAGTGGTCAGTATGGAGCAATATATGGGACGGGTGAAGTCTTTAAGCCTTACATTTTCAAAAAGGCTTAATTGCATGCCTACAGTGACACCTTCCTTTTGCACAATAAAAAACAAACAAAAAAACATTCTTATTTACAGTATACATAAGGGATTAGCTACAATCAATAAGAACAGAGTTTACAAATCAAAGTGTTTTTGACTCTTTGCTCTTTCACCCAGAATATACCAGTTATTTGCCCACAAAACAGCAAGTAATATTACCCACAGCACATGTCACTGATACTTCAACACGTCTGTCCTCAGGGAAGTTTTAAAAAGAACGCAACTTACGAGCTATTCACATTGTTCTTATTGATTGCAGCACTGAATAAGTTCAGATGGCAGACGGCTCTGTTCACAGGATGGGGGCTGCAGGCTACAGTGCCGACCCGGCTGCCCTCTGTTTGCTGATTTATTTTCTAACGTATCTCACTGATGTAGGATTCTTTTACAGCATCTACAAAAAATGGTCCAGCGCATTAACCTCATTTCTTTTATAACTAAGATTTCTTCATAGCACTTCACCATAAATCTGTGTGCAATATTACTCATTAGTGATCACAAAAACTTGTGCATTAATAATATTTCTATTTATTTATCTTATCCACCAATTTATATTTACTCTCTGACTCCTATGGCTGGCTGTTTTTATATACTGTATGCACATACTTACAAGTATTTAATCGTATGACTGTTTTTATCTGTAATTGTTTTAATTCTTTTTTTTATTTCTTTTTCTCTTAATTGTACTAAACAGGAGCATGACTCCTAATTTCATTGGGTATTTACTACACAATGACAATAAAGCTTCTATTCTATTCTATTCTATTCTATTCTGTTCATAGCACTCTGGTTATTTAATTTTTTTGCTTTACAACAGCAGTGAAATATTGATAAAGTATTTTTAAAATGTTACCCAACATGTCTCCTAAAAATGAGTGAGAAAAAAAATCAAGCAGGTTGAAATTTCATTTAATTCCATTTGCTTGTTTGTTTTTTTGCCTTTACAGAAGTACTGCAATCAGGTAAATTAAACATTTTACCTATAATGTCTCCTAAAAATGACAGTCAGAAAAAAAATCAAACATGTTGAAATTCCATTTAAAAATCTCACTGATGTATATCTCTTGTCCCCTCAAAATAAGAGGTCCGGTTCAGAAATGTTATTTTTCAAAAAAGTTTTCTTCATGACATTTTTACCATAACACTTTCTATTTTTTTCTTTTACAACAAAAGCAGATGGTTTCTCAGGTAAATAACATACCCAACTATGTCTACTGAAAAGTAGACAGAACAAGAAAAAAAACAAATAAAATAACACAGAATAAAAACAAGCATAATGAAATTTCATTTTATTTAACAACATGTCTCAGTGTTGTAGAAAAATAAGAGGCCCAGTTCAGGATCCTGTGCATGTCCATAGCGGTTCAGCATAACACTGTGTCTGTTTACGCTGGTTTTTTTCTTTTTTTTTTAGATGATGTCATATCATGTAAGTTTAACATTTTACATATACGACTCCTAAAAATAAGACAGAAAAAGTATAAAAAATAATGAAGCATGTTGAAATTCCATTTCCTTAACAATACATGTTATTGGTGTTGATCTCTTTTTCAATGTCCGCTAAAAATAAAAGGTCTACTTCGGAGACCTTACCAGAAAAGGTTTGTTCATAGTAGTTTACCATAATATTGTTCTGTTTTTCCTTTTGCAGGCGGAATGGAATATCTGTCAGGTAAGGTTGTCATCTTCCATTCCATACTTGAGGTTCTGCAGGTCAGCTGTAGCCTTTCCTTGTGACCACATCCTCCACCAATGACGTCCTCTAGGTCTATATGCCTGCAGCTTTGCACGACTGGCTTGGCCTTTTCTTCCACCTTGGCTTCTCCTTTTGTTGCCAGCCATGTCTTGTTGGCATTTCTTGAGGCCAATGGAAACCATGGTTACCATTGACCTGAGTGGGGCTCCCCCTGCTGGTGCTCTGTGGAAACCCAGTGGACTGTCACCACACAGCATAATGCAAATGCTAAAGCCATTATGTGTTTAACAAATGAATGTGTCTGATTTACATTTAAATGCCTCTTGTGCTACCAGTTGTCTCCACGTGGAGAGACACACCCTTTCTCTGTCATGCTTTTTTTCCCCTTTCCACATTTCACCCTTCCTCCATACACTTCCCATGCTTACTCCACACTTTCCATATGGGAAAATTGGACGTGTTGTGAAAAATGATGACCATGATATTTGCAAGGCTTTAATCAACTGTCAACTTAAAATAGACCCTCCAGAGAGACAGAAAGTTGGGGATCCTTTGCTGGAATTGATCAGCCTACAGAAAGTAGATGGATCCTGGGACCTTCAACCATCGCTGGCCTCCATCTTTGGAAAAAAGGAAGAAGAAGTGGCCACAGCCTTACCTGGAAAGGTGATGGACTCTCTGAGATGTTCCACACTTTAAGGGTCCTAAAGACAGTGAAGCTTGTTTCAGTTTGGTTGTATTTTCAGGCCTTTAGCTCAGGTCAGTGAGGGACCTTGATCCTGTTTTTTACTCCACAGCCTGAGTTTTTATCAGTCTGGGCCACAGTGTTGGCAGTTCTGTGGCTACATGGTCATAAGATGGACTTCAAGGATGAGTGGCAGTTTGTGGCTGCAAAAGCTGTTGCCTGGATCAGGGCTCAGTCAGGTAGGAGAGAGCTCTCCCTTTGTTTGATACACAGTATATCATAGGTAACATCATGCATGCATATAAGCATTTAGATGATAATGTGTATTTGATCATCGCAACATTTAAAAAGTTCTGTTTTCAGGGGGTTTGCATAGAGGTATTACACAATGAAAGGTGCGGTGGAAACACGAGATCTCAACAGATTAACAGTAAATGTCAGACAAGCAAGAAGAGAGTTTCTTTGAATCTCATCAGCTTAGTCTTTTGAATTTTCGAAAATCAAAGAAATCAATCAGCTCCACAATATGTGTTTGTTTGATTAGTTTTCTCCTGAATAACAATTTTATATCATTCTCCTGCCTTCCTTCAAACATTTCTTCAACAAAGGATATTACTAAATATGAATATTACTTTACACACATTTCCCACCAATTTAAATTCCAGTAGGTATTCAAAAAGGAAACAGACCGAAAGAACACTGCATACTCAAATATGTTTAAATCTTATAATTTTTTTGTTTTTCAGTTTAAAACAGTCTTTCACGTTTTGTCTTTGTATGGTATTTTTGAAAAATACAGTGGAACCTTGGAACTCGAATGTCTCTTAACTCGACCGTTCCTGCTAATAACTCTACCAATTCAGACCTTGAACGTGTAGGTCGAGAATAATTTAACCGCTCAAAACTCAACCGAAAACACGGAACAGAACAAAACAAAACAGACAAAACTTATACAGATCGAGACGGGTCTCTGATGGACCAACTTGGACGCTGATGCCTATGAATCGCTGTTAGTGTCGCGGTGCCTCTCGACCGAGATCGACGTGCAAAAGCTGCGTTTCTGTGTTCGGTGTGATTTTTTTGTGCTTTATCTACAGTACATTTAGTGATAAAGTAATCATGCCCCCCCCAGAAAGTGAGCAGCGATACCACCAAACCAAAGAGGAAAGTAGTGAGAGTAACTAGAACTTAAGAAGGAAATTATAGTGAGACTTGAGACTTATGTGTGTCTGCTCTCACTTCGTCGGAGCGTGGGATTGTCATTTGTTTGTTTATGTGTG